TGTTACAAGTGTCCCCATCTAGAGTGCTCTTGCTTGACTCTTTCATATAAAAGTATTCTCTCACTAAACGCCAAGAACGGGATCTCAAATACTCTACTGAACATAATAAATATGTCATGGTAATAATGATAATATGATATTTCAATGCCTTTATAAATTTTAGGTGTGAAGACTATTTTTTTAATTTGTAAAAATAATTTTAGAAATGGGGTCTCATTATATTACTCAGACTGGTCTAGAACTCCTGGCCTCAAGCAATCCCCCGACCTTGGCCTCCCAAAAAGCTGCATTACTGAGCCACCGTGCCTGGCCAAAACAAAGTTTTTTTGATGAACAAATTTCCCAATATTTTGAGAGACAGTTTTCTATTATACCTCTGTGACAATAACATAACAGACAGGCTCTATAAAATGTGTGAACGTGACAATAACGTTACTAGCCAGGTCTTGCAAAAGCAAAGATTAAATACCAGATAAAAGGATAAGGCTTTATTGAAAGAATCTTTTATTACATTTAATAAAACTATGTAAAATGTACATTTTTGCCTGACTTGAACTGAAGAACTGCTAAGGTATAGTCATCTTACCTTTCTTCCAAAAGCTCTTCTCCTAAGTATTTCCTACATGTGCATAATGGGTTTTATTACTTCTTTATACCCCATTCATAAGGACTTGCATAACATACATTTTACTTAGATAAAAATGAAATACTTTTCTCTGCAGATTACTTACCTTTGCACTGAAGAAATCTTCTCTGTCTAGAAAGAGAATACTTATGGCATAACAAATATAACTAGAGGTCATCTTTTTCTCCTAACTCTTAAAGAGCACATGCTGGAAGGAACTGCCTGTGTTCCAACCCTGGAGTGTCCTCCGCCTCCACCAATTCTCTTCCAGCCTTTCACTGACCATTGAATATGTTACCACACAAATGACTACTGAGGGCGACTGACTTTGGGAAAGAGATACCAGGTCAAACATGAAAGCTCAGAGGGAAAAGGGACAGACCCAGGCAATGGAGCGGGAGCTGCTCTGGGGCAGCCACCCAAACGCTTAGTGACAGTGTTTTGAGTTTTGATGGCTCCAGTTTTGTTGTAGTTGGTGGGAGGCTGGGGTGGATTTGTCCATATTCATAAGTAAAAACTGGGAAATATAAAGGACTTGTTAAAAGTCCCTTTCATTTTATTCCTATTTTCCCATCGAATCACACATTTTTCCTCTTACTAGAATTGTAGAATTGTTGCCCCTACTTGAGTGACTTAACACACTGCCTGGCACAGATCACAGCAAACAGGAGAGAAAAATCTCTTGGTGGTATTAATCCCTGTCCTATTCAGCTAGACAAGGTGCCATCAATGGCTTCTGAAGTGTGTGGAGCAATAGCTTAGGAGAAACTGAATTTGCCAGAAAAAATAAACTGATAATCTTCA